TCAATACAGTTTAAATTACAAAATATTTTAGGGCGAGAATACCGACCAGTGTCAATGCTTAGCTTTAAATTACCACTGCGAAATTTAGCTAACGCCTGTCTATACCTGAACTCCATAATACTTGAGGTATACGTTTCCGTGTAATTACTAGTTTTGTATAATCTATATGTTCTCAACTTATTGCCGTTATCACAATTACGGTCATTGTGTAAATCTATAAGCCACTTTCCATTATCCAGACTAGTAAAATGTTATTTAACTAATTTCACACATTGCTTTACCGAATTAAATGGTGAAAGTAAATGTTCCAAATTATTATTTCTCAACAGTTTGATAACTCTGTTCTCCCAACTGCGTCTTACAGTAAGAGATCAGTTGTGGATTTTTTTCAGTAATCTATCATCTTCAGTGAATTTCAAATTTAACCACTGTCTACACACTTTAACCTTTTGGTAAACTTCACAGGAGCTCCAACCAAGGTCACCTCGCGCGGAGATATTGGAACCATTTTTCCCTGTTACTAAATAGAATCTGCAGGCGCGGTTTTGGACAGTTTGAACGAAACGATAAATATTATGTCCCCATATTACAGAGCCGTAGAATAGATCAGGTTCCACAAGCGACATGTAAAGTTGTTTGAAGACTGCAAGCGACATCCCTCCCGCGAATTTGGATTTAGGAATTATTGCACCTAGGGCTCTACTTGCCGATTTGGTAAGTTAGCGCACTGCTATTTTCAAATCAACATGTTCCGTAAACCAGAACCCTAAGTAACGATAGCGATCAATATAAGCAATATCTAAATTACCGCACTTGAAGTTAAAACGAGATCGAGGTGTTGAATGGTTTCTAAAATGCACCACTTTCGTTTTATCCCTGTTAATCGTAAGCCTCCACTTTCTGCACCAATTATTTAGACATTGCAGCATGCGTTGAAGTGAGAGCTCATCAGTCACTTATAGCGCGATGTCATCCGCGTACATTGTCAGCGAAATCATATTGTCATCGTATTTAACAGCACTTATGTAGAGCCTTAATGTCACTTGCCAGGTCGTTCACGTAGATGGAAAATAAAGCAGGCGAAATATTACAGCCCTGTTTTACGCCCTGTGTGACGTTGAACCAATCTGTGACGTGATTATTTAAACGTATCGCGCAACTGACGTCACTATATAATGATTTGACGGCATCCATGAAAGCACACTTAATGCCAAATGCATAGAGTTTATACCATAAACAGTCCCTATCAACTGTATCAAACGCTTTACGTAGATCAACGAAGCATACAAATGTAGAAGTGTTTTTCAGTATTCTGTTGTTGGTGATGTTATAAAGCGAGTAAATGTGTTCCAAACAGTTTCTTTTTCGGCGAAAACCATTTTGTTTGTCCCCTAGTACGTCATTTCGAGCCATTTGTTCAGTCTCTGATCTAGTCTGTATTTGTATAAATTTTGCAAGGAACGGACAGTAATGAAATTCCACGATAACTGAGAGAGTCAGTAGAAGGGTCTTTGGTGTCCGACTTAGGGATTGGCTGGATGATATCCTTTCACCAGTCGCGTGGTATATCTCCATTGACGAAACAGTGCGTAAAAAAAATAAGGAGGATGTCAACATATGTATCGTTACGAAGTACATCCGCTGGAATATAGACGAAACCAGGAGACTTTCGGAGTTCTGCCCTGTATATAGCGGTTTTCACCTCCTCCTGTGTTAATAGTACCATGGGCACCATTTATGCTTTTTGCAATGTTTATAATTATTTCTCGCAACTACATTATCTCTGAGAAGGGGATATAACTCTTCTCAGAAACGGTACTATGGTAACAGAGTACAGTAGAAATGGCCTGATCCTAAAAATAAAGGACATGTCTCAGATAAACATGGATAGTGGATTCAACCTGCACAACACACCTNCCCCCAGTTTTGGGACTTGAGAAACAATGGTTACCAAATAAAACAAAAATCAGACCAAAAATATGCAAAAAACACTTTTAACCAAAAATTTGACCCCCGCAAGTAGTAAGTTTGTTCTTAAAACCTGTCTAAAATTAAATATCGCCTACTCGGTAACAGAAATACTCATGTTTTAGCATAGGTCATGCCGGTGGATTTTTCACAATATTTACACATGTGCTGTACAAAAATAGTCTACATGAAAAGCTAGCTTTTGTTGTGCAGACACAGATTTGTAAATGCCCAAAACTGTAGTCTCAAACCAAATTCGATTTTTTGGGGAAAAATTATGAAGCCCACATAGTCCACATCACGTGTATGCCAATTTTAGTGCTGATTTTTATTTATTTTTTATTTTTGATACATGTTATATTACAGGGGTTATTCATTGTAAACAAATATCAACCATGGCCACCGTACGCTACAACTGTACCATGGCCACCGTACGCTACAACTGTACCATGGCCACCGTACGCTACAACTGTACCATGGCCACCGTACGCTACTACTGTACCATGGCCACCGTACGCTACTACTGTACCATGGCCACCGTACGCTACAACTGTACCATGGCCACCGTACACTACTACTGTACCATGGCCACCGTACGCTACTACTGTACCATGGCCACCGTACGCTACTACCGTACCATGGCCACCGTACGCTACAACTGTACCATGGCCACCGTACACTACTACTGTACCATGGCCACCGTACGCTACTACTGTACCATGGCCACCGTACGCTACTACCGTACCATGGCCACCGTACGCTACAACTGTACCATGGCCACCGTACACTACTACTGTACCATGGCCACCGTACGCTACTACTGTACCATGGCCACCGTACGCTACTGTACACTGCTATCTATGTATCTATGCGTAGAAATATGATTTGTCATTGTGTGTGAAATCCACTGACCGGTTGCACGAGAATCGTTCTATTAAGGTTTCTATATCTTCCCTGTTCAATATTTAAATTATGCGAGCTAAGTCTAAAACGAGATAAAGTCTTTTTATATGAATTATTAATTGGTTTTCTTAAATATGATTGGAGAGAAAAATTATCTATCAGATGTTGATAAAGGAAACCTTTCGGAATTGTTTGGATGTTTGTTAATATTTCCTGCCGGTAAACATCGAACAGTCTTTGCTCAATGATTGTATAGGTATTTCTACCATTTCTAACATTGTCAAATTCATACCTGAACTCTCACAGGTGTAGCGGAACTGGACTTGGTCAAGCGTCGACGACCAGGTGGAGCGTCCGTCTAGAGTTCGGGGGTCCCGGATTCGAACCCCGGTCTTGCGTTTCAATTTCTCTTGTTCCTGTTACAAAATAGGCGAGCTTGCCAGCCCTTGTTTTAAGCATTGGGTGTACGCTAAGCAAGGGTTGCAAATAACTGTGTCTTCGGGGGCCAAGATTGCTTTATATACACCCTTTTCAGTATTTTAATGGACTTAAATTATAATTTAATGGAAATCCGTTAAATAATTGTTGCGTTCCGAAGGTAAAAACTGGCACCAATATGTTAAGCATCAATCAAACACCTTAGAAAGCCGTTACTGCCTACATATGTGCGCGGCCGACACTTAATCTCGCGACGGATTATTGGCTAATGCGTGCGTTTGCGAGATCTGCGCGACCTGCAAATCTATGCGCTACTGCATTGGAGTCGAAATCTAGTACAAAAGGTGGTAAATGTTACTTACTATACACCAATATATATGTTACACGTAAATAAACTAATAACGAGGTGGTCAGTTGACTTTTGGTCTAAATATACAAGTAAGCATTAATTATTCATGTTCTCCCTTAGTTTAAGGGGCTGGTCGAGGAAAACATAACAAAATAAATGGATCTAAATGGGTTCTCTGGCCTTCCAAAAGTTATACCACGTCAATATGATGGTCGAGTGTCCAGTTTTGACCACTGAAATCTCGGGGAAGCCTCGCGTAAATTAAGCGCAGAACTATTTATATATGTCACGTGGTTGTTTCGAAAGTGAGGCAGCGAAGATAACAACAATAGCACGCCGTCATGTGCCATGTCGGACTCAACTGGCGGACAAGACAGCAACACTATAGGTAAATAATTGTTATCAAAGGTCATGTATAATGCAAGTGTAGTATTCCTACCTATATGTTGTTGTTATATATAACGGTATTGATACCTCGTGCCTGTCATGACTTTTGCATGCATCTTTTTCTTTCGCCGCGATGTTTACATTTGGCCTTGTTGATGACGCGCGTGCGCTAAAATTACATCACTGATCTGGGTCAATCGAGAGTTTTAGACTTTCAGGTGACGATTTAGGATTTCTTTACTTTAATTATATTTTCTTTTACAAAATTTGAATCGGTATATTTCATAAGGTATTTTAAACATGTGTATGCCATTTTATCAAATATGACATTTTTTCCCCGACCCAGCCCCTTTAACTGTCGTTATGTTTGTCCTTCATGTAAACTCAAAGATGTAACTGACGTAATGGAACGTCTACATGTAGACAATACTTCTTCACATTGTGTTCTAGTACCAATATTTATGATTCTTTACCTTCATCGCGTTTAAGATATTTTAACCGACTTCTTCCTGTCTATACATAGCGAACGCGGGTAATCTAAAAGCACTGTAAGAGCCAATGCGGACAGAAATACAGTGTATATTACGACTTTGATAGAATAATGTGAAATGGGAACACTTGCAAAATGTTGGTAACTTGTGCGAATAGATAAGTAACTCGTGCACACGGATTAGTAAATGTTTTACCATGTTCCTTCGGGGGCTCCGTAGTTATCAGTGCAATTATATGACAAAAATCCATTTCAGGTAAGTTAGCTAATTGCTTTATTTGATTTTGGTTACATGTATGTACTAATTATAAGTCAATCTATTTAAATCTATGGATTTGATTTCCTGTTATAGTGTTTCTGAAACAGTCCATTTACAGGTTTTTTGGCTACGTCCTAAATCTTATTTAGTACAAGGGTACTTATTATGCGCCTTTACACATATATTCGCACTGCACACTGCCAAACCAGTGCAGGTACGTCACACACACCAGCAGACGATACGTGTGTATGTGGTGTATTGATCCGAACAGACCGGGTATCTATGCAGTGCTACGACAAGGAAATAGTGTACGTGTACATATACCAAATACTTTTACGGTTATCAGCTGTTAACAAAACACAAGGAAGATAGACTCAGTGGCGTAATACTGGTAATCTATAGGTTACAATTATAGTACTTCCTTGTTGGTATCAAATATATGACTGGACGCCACATCTAGATAGATATAGCGGGTGCTTGATTTGTCACATGACGGTGGCGTATATATATTTGTGTGGACATACCTGGATGTACACGTTTACCGATGTAAGCAGGATCCGTCGGACTGGGGAAAGGACCTGATGGCTGAATTCTCACTTGCCAGTGTTTTAAACTCACTGGTCTACCCCACCACTGTTCGGATTGCTAGCGGTGGCCTCACTGCTACGGAGGGTAAGCACTTCCGGCCCGATGACGTTTTAATACTATATGGAAGTGGACTCCGAGTTTATGTTCCACCGTCCGCTAATGCTGCATTGAGGGAAAGGTGCAGGACTGCGGACACCACAAAAAGAACGAGACGGAGATTGCCTGATGACGGCGGGGACGAGTACAGCAACACGAATAATCTGTTCACTAAAAACATCTTTGTCTCGGAGAAAGCAAACTTAAAGGACAACAAATTTGCCGGGAAGGTTTATCGAGATGTTGCTGAAATCCTAAGTGATTCACCATTTTCGGTGAAAGCAAATAAATCATTTTTCGTCTGTGGTGATGAACAAAATCCCAACGAAATCCGGAAGATATTCGAAGGCGAGGTGATACATATAGACCCTCACATAGATAGAGCCAATATGAACATTTTGCGTGGGCACGTGGATGGTAAACGCGTGTCCATGCAACTATCAAACACATCTATCAGTGTCACTGCCTTGCCTGAGTTGAATTCGGAGGCCACTGCGAGACCTGCTGCTCATATGTCGCACGTAGATTTTGGACTACCAAAAGAAATGGTATATGAGGACCAAGACATACAGGAAACATATCAAATAGAAGTGGGTTTCAATGTGATACCGCTGCAGGAACGACCCATGCTTTCGGTCTGTTGCTCGAAACGACAACGTAGCGTAGAGGAACTTGACAATGGCATGCTTAAGATACAGAACATCTGGTGCTTTAACTTTAACGAGCAGTCTATTAAAACTGTCACGGTACAGGTCCTCAATACAGATGTGGAATCATCCTTCAAACCTGCATTTGGAAAAGAAGTGGACAGAGATGAAAATGATTTCAGTTTTTACAATCTGTACGGGAAACAATGCACAGGTGAGTAGGCATGTGATTCATTTTCAAGTGCCACGACTTTCAAAAGCATTCAATTGGATTCGAGTTAAAATTCATTCAGATAATTACATTGCAAAAGGGAAACATCACTAGAAATTCAAAGTAAGGAAAGGCCTATTTAGACAGGCAGAAAGTACAAGTAAACCTACAATGAATTGCATGATGTTGTCCTTTACAACGACAGATATTGTTAGATTAAATGTGCACCCCAAGGTGCCTTCACTCGTTATAAAACTGGGATGGGGGTCCACCAGTATAAGTAAAGCCTCATTTGAAGTCATTACTTCATAACTGATTTCTGGTCTTTCTTGTTTACTCGAGGCAAGTTACGTTAGGGTAGGGGACGAGGCAGGAGGTCAAGAAACTTGGGCAGGGTGGATCAGATTCAAATGTTCCAATTTACCATGACCAGAATATATTGACCTCATTAACTGTAGCGGAAACTAGTTCGACCTTATATTTATTTTCATTAAGATACATGGAAAACCAACTTAAGGGCACCAGAGAAGAATTAGTGAAAAGTATATATTGTTCTTCATTTGTGTAACTTTACCATGGGCTCTACCTTAGCTAATCAACTTCAAATATGTACGAACCCTAACTTCACTATAAACACCAGTACCATGATCACTAATTTAACATGATCACTAATTTAACATGATCACTAGATTCATCGTATTGGTCACTAGTTTCACTGAATTGGATTCGATACGTTTTATTGATAGTTGTACTGTATAACAGCATTTGCTATATCGCCTTATCTAGCTAACATAAGCCACTCAAAAGCGCTTTACAGTACATATGTATACCCTTAGCATTTACATTAATCAATATAATTTTGAGGAATTTGCAGGAGCTGTCTTATCAGGCGCTAGCTACTAGTCCTATGCCACCTAGCTAATAACTCCCTATGTGTGTATGCCTGCGTGTGTGCTGGAGATGTAATGTGTTCTGTTTGTAATGGGACCGTGCTTACAACGGTATCATTTATAGTGCCACCTCACTTGAATGCTACAGCACAAATACCGCAACATCCACCCCAGACCAATTTATATACTCCATCTGGGTTGTTGGAGTTGTATGGGCAGGCGAACAACACTTTCTCTGAATATCCATGCAAACGGCGACTTCGGGAATCGAACACTAGTCGCCTGAGTGGAAGGCTGGCTTTTACTATACCATGCACATTAGTTTTTCTGAAATATTGTTCCAAGTTCAATATATCATAACCTCTTCGTTTACCACGCTCATTCGTTTCATTGTAACATGATCACTCGGTCTACCACGATCGCTATTTACTTTTTAACTTGACCACCTGGTGTCCAATGATCACTTGTTGCACTGTACCAATATCCACTTGCTATAACATAAACACTAATTTCGCTGTACCAGCCACTTGGTGTAGCATTGTCACTGGTTTCACTCAAACATACCCACTTGCTATAACATAAACACTAAAGTCACTGTCCCAGCCACTTGGTATAGCATTGTCACTGGTTTCACTGAAACATATCCACTTGCTATAACATAAATACTAATTTCGCTGTACCAGTCACGTGGTGTAGCATTGTCACTGGTTTCACTCAAACATATCCACTTGCTATAACATAAATACTAATTTCGCTGTACCAGTCACTTGGTGTAGCATTGTCACTGGTTTCACTCAAACATATCCACTTGCTATAACATAAACACTAAAGTCACTGTACCAGCCACTTGGTGTTGCATTGCAACTGGTTTCACTCAAACATATCCACTTGCTATAACATAAACACTAATTTCGCTGTACCAGCCACTTGGTGTAGCATTGTCACTGGTTTCACTTAAACATATCCACTTGCTATAACATAAACACTAAAGTCACTGTACCAGCCACTTGGTGTAGCATTGTCACTGGTTTCACTCAAACATATCCACTTGCTATAACATAAACACTAATTTCACTGTACCAGCCACTTGGTGTAGCATTGTCACTGGTTTCACTCAAACATATCCACTTGCTATAACATAAACACTAATTTCACTGTACCAGCCATTTGGTGTAGCATTGTCACTGGTTTCACTTAAACATATCCACTTGCTATAACATAAACACTAATTTCGCTGTACCAGCCACTTGGTGTAGCATTGTCACCAGTTTCACTTAAACATATCCACTTGCTATAACATAAACACTAATTTCACTGTACCAGCCACTTGGTGTAGCATTGTCACCAGTTTCACTTAAACATATCCACTTGCTATAACATAAACACTAATTTCACTGTACCAGCCACTTGGTGTAGCATTGTCACCAGTTTCACTTAAACATATCCACTTGCTATAACATAAACACTAATTTCACTGTACCAGCCACTTGGTGTAGCATTGTCACCAGTTTCACTTAAACATATCCACTTGCTATAACATAAACACTAATTTCACTGTACCAGCCACTTGGTGTAGCATTGTCACTGGTTTCACTCAAACATATCCACTTGCTATAACATAAACACTAAAGTCACTGTACCAGCCATTTGGTGTAGCATTGCAACTGGTTTCACTCAAACATATCCACTTGCTATAACATAACCACTGATGTCACTGTACCAGCCAATTGGTGTAGCATGGCAACTGGTTTCACTTAAACATATGCACTTGCTATAACATAAACACTGATGTCCCTGTACCAGCCAATTGGTGTAGCATTGCAACTGGTTTCAGTCACTTGGTGTAGCATTGTCACTGGTTTCTCTCAAACATATCCACTTGCTATACCATAAACACTAAAGTCACTGTACCAGCCTCTTGGTGTTGCATTGCTACTGGTTTCACTCAAACATATCCCCTTGCTATAACATAAACACTGATGTCCCTGTACCAGCCAATTGGTGTAGCATGGCAACTGGTTTCACTTAAACATACCCACTTGCTATAACATAAACACTAAAGTAACTGTACCAGCCACTTGGTGTTGCATCGCAACTGGTTTCACTCAAACATATCCCCTTGCTATAACATAAACACTAAAGTCACTCTACCCGCCACTTGGTGTAGCATTGTCACTGGTTTCACTTAAACTTATCCACTTGCTATAACATAAACACTGATGTCACTGTACCAGCCAATTGGTGTAGCATTGCAACTGGTTTCACTTAAACATATCCACTTGCTATAACATAAACACTGATGTCACTGTACCAGCCACTTGGTGTAGCATTGTCACTGGTTTCACTTAAACATATCCACTTGCTATAACATAAACACTAATTTCACTGTACCAGCCACTTGGTGTAGCATTGTCACCAGTTTCACTTAAACATATCCACTTGCTATAACATAAACACCAACGTCACTGTACCAGCCACTTGGTGTAGCATTGTCACTGGTTTTATTGCGACATGACTACTTAGTGTACCACGATCACTCATCTTACTGTACCGTGAACACTTATTGTAACATGAGAACCAGTTTCACTTTAACGTGAACACTGGGTGTATAGTGATTTCTTGGTGTACCACGATCACTATTTTCACACTACAATGACCACTTAGCGTACAATGACCATTTGTTTCACAATACCATGACCACTTGGTGTATCGCGATCACAACCTTCATTGTACAATGACCATTTGGTGTATCGCGATCACAACCTTCATTGCACCATGACCACTTGGTGAATCGCGATCACAACCTTCATTGTACCATGACCTTTTGGTGTATCACGATCACAACCTTCATTGTACCATGACCACTTGGTGTATCGCGATCACAACCTTCATTGTACCATGACCATTTGGTGTATCACGATCACTACCTTCACTGTACCATGACCATTTGGTGTATCGCGATCACAACCTTCATTGTACCATGACCACTTAGTGTATCGCGATCACAACCTTCATTGTACCATGACCATTTGGTGTATCACGATCACTACCTTCACTGTACCATGACCATTTGGTGTATCGCGATCACAACTTTCATTGTACCATGACCACTTGGTGCACTGTGATCACAGGTTTCACTTTACCATGATCATTTGTTGTAGCATGACCATTTGTTTCACAATACCATGACTATTTAGTGTATCATGATCACTACCTTCATTGTACCATGGCCATTTGGTGTATCACGATCACTACCTTCAGTGTACCATGATCATTTGGTGTATTACGATCACTACCCTCATCGTACCATGACCATTTGGTGTACTGTGATCACAAGTTTCACTGTACCATGACCATTTGGTGTATCACGATCACTACCTTCATTGTACCATTACCATTTTAGGGTACTGTTATCACAAGTTTCACTGAACCATGACCATTTAGTGTACTGTGATCACAAGTTTCACTGTACAATGACCATTTGGTGTATCACGATCACTACCTTCACTGTACCATGACCATTTGGTGTAGCACCTACCCTCATCGTACCATGACCATTTGGTGTACTGTGATCACAAGTTTCACTGTACCATGGCCATTTGGTGTATCACGATCACAAGTTTCACTGTACCATGATCATTTGGTGTATCACGATCACTACCTTCATTGTACCATTAACATTTAGTGTACTGTGATCACAAGTTTTACTGTACCATGACCATTTTGTGTACTGTGATCACAAGTTTCCCTGTACCATGCCCATTTGGTGTATCACGATCACAAGTTTCACTGTACCATGATCATTTGGTGTATCACGATCACTACCTTCATTGTACCATTACCATTTTAGGGTACTGTTATCACAAGTTTCACTGAACCATGACCATTTAGTGTACTGTGATCACAAGTTTCACTGAACCATGACCATTTAGTGTACTGTGATCACAAGTTTCACTGTACAATGACCATTTGGTGTACAGTGATCAGAAGTTTCACTGTATCGTGACCGTTTGATGTATCACGATCCCTACCTTCATTTTACCATGACCATTTGGTGTACTGTGATCACAGGTTTTACTGTACCATGACCATTTGGTGTACCATGATCATTAGTTTCACTGTACGTGGACCATTTGGTGTACCATGATTAATAGTTTCACTCTACCATGATCAGTTGGTGTACTATGATCACAAGTTTCACTTACCATATCCATTTGGTGTACCATGATAATTAGTTTCACTGTATCATGACCATTTGGTGTATCACAATCACTACCTTCACTGTACCATGACCATTTGGTGTAGCACGATCACAAGTTTCACTGTACCATGACCATTTGGTGTATCACGATCACTACCTTCATGGTACCATGACCATTTGGTGTACTGTGATCACAGGTTTCACTGTACCATGACCATTTGGTGTACCATGATCATTAGTTTCACTGTACCATGACCATTTGGTGTACCAGGATCATTAGTTTCACTCTACCAGGATCAGTTGGTGTACTATGATCACAAGTTTCACTTACCATATCCATTTGGTGTACCATGATAATTAGTTTCACTGTATCATGACCATTTTGTGTATCACAATCACTACCTTCACTGTACCATGACCATTTGGTGTAGCACGATCACAAGTTTCACTGTACCGTGACCATTTGATGTATCACGATCACTACCTTCTTTGTACCATTAACATTTAGTTTACTGTGATCACAGGTTTCACTGTACCATGACCATTTGGTGCATCACGATCACTACCTTCATTGTATTATTACCATTTAGTGTACTGTGATCACAAGTTTTACTGTACCATGACCATGTGGTGTACCAGGATCATTAGTTTCACTCTACCATGAACAGTTGGTGTACCATGATCACAGGTTTCACTGTACCATGACCATTTGGTGTAACATGATCATTAGTTTCACTGTACCATGACCATTTGGTATACCATGATCATTAGTTACACTGTACCATGACCATTTGGTGTACCTTGATCGTAATATTTACTGTACCATTATCACAAATTTCAATGTGCCATGACCACCATGATCACTAGATTCTCTGTAACATGGACACCTGTTGAATCATGACCACGTGTTTCATTGTACCATCACCACTTTATGAACCATGATCATTAGTGACACCGTTTCACGACTGTTACAGGACCACTTGGTGTACCATGATCACTAGTTTCTTTGTACCGTGATAGTCCGGACACTTGGTATACCATTATCATTCGTTTCTCTGTACCATGGACACTTGCTGTATCATGACCACGTGTTTCATTGTACCATGATGACTTGGTGTACCACGATAACTAGTTTCACTGTTACATGACCATTTGTTGCATTATGATATATACTTTAATTATTAATTTCGGTTTCAGTCCAAGAATTAACATCTGTTGCCTATCACGCCGAAGAGCTGCTTTCGTGTGTTTGCTTATGTCGGGGTATATCAGGCGCTAATTACAAGTTCTTGGATAACTCAGATATATATATCCTTTTCAAACTGGAATAAAAAACAACCCGAAGGCGTTCCAAATATCACACGGGATTTCATTTAATCAAAGATGTTCCGAGAATGAATCAGGCACCTTTGAGTTTCCTGAAGGGGTAGACTGTTATGTTATGGATTGCTGTTGATTGACTTAGATATTTTATGTTTGACCATCGCCTACCGTAAATATTCGCGTATATTCTGCACATTTTTTAAGGAAAAATGAAAGTGTCAATAAAGGGGTGCGCGGATACTCAAGAACAATCCAAAACTAGTCCTTGGTCGCGACCACTTCATTTATCGGGGATTTTTCGGGGATTTTCGAAAATATGCTCGTAGTAATAAACTGTTAAATTTCGTTGAATAACTCCTGATTGCATTGTCTATTTAACTATTACGAAAAATTGCAAGTTTAAGACATATCATACGATATAATCGGATAAATAAACTCGAGTAAAGTGGGCCCAACATTCAGGATACGATACCACGTATGGGGAAACATAACGAAGCATTGCATCGTAATAAGCACTGTGGGGTTAAAATGCTGTTCTTGGGTAAAATCATGCTGAACTATTTAATCTTGACTTGACAGTAGGAATGTGTCAAAACGACATGGGGAAAGTGGCGAAGTTTGCAAGTTTGTGTAATGCAAAGAGTCAAGGTCGCGTGATACTATTTACCGACAGGAACTTACAATATCACATACATACGAATTGAACCGATAATAATAAAATTAAGCGTTTGAAAAATAAACATTAATGGGCTCAAAACACCCAAATATATTCCGATCTTTTCTTTTCAATGAAGAATTGCTGAAATCACAATTGTTTTTTCATATCTCGTGAATTTGGCTGTTGGCGGTCCTCGTCGGACCTGTTTGAGTGACTGCCTTTAATAAAGCGTACACACTCTGCCTATAGGCCTATCGATGTCCGATTCAGTCAGATTTGCACACGATCAGAAAACTACTTTGAATCGTTTTATATAAGAAAAATGACAGATTTATCAGTATATAAGATTGAATCTTTTCTGAAAGTTTTATCGTTTTATGCCAATAGATGTTATCGCGACCATCCACGAGTTACTCCCCTTCGAAGGGTTATGCCGGAAAATGCACAAGTCTCGCGAGAGAATGCGAGGATACGGGGGCAAAACAATCTGCCATGTGTAAAGAATATGCCCCACCTTCACTGTATTGAACCAACAAAAATAACTCACAATAATAAAGGTCATATCAAATGCATTTAGTGATGACATTTCAATCAAATTGTTTGTCCAAAACAAGCCTTTTGACGTTTCATTTACATACAGGTAACACACGATACTCTGTACGCCGCTGACGGTCCGTCACAGCTGTGACGCTTTAGCTTCGTTCTCTTTTTCAATATCTGGCCAATTTAACATGTCTGCTTGCTATCATAGGTGTACTAGCTCCCCAATTTTCTTATTTGGAGTAGGTGATACCTTTTGACTTTAAAATATTTCCCAATTCATTACAAGGAAGTTCGTGGAAATTCGTATCTGAATGTTTTGGCGCTGCCATGTTGTCCGTTGCCCCAGCAGGTACAGTGTAATCCCCTCCTATTTGAAGAGTTCCAATGGTCGCGTTATCATCTATTACAAAAATGTACTTGCTCTGCTCATGCCAGTGACAACAGATATTTGCCACATACTTTCTCCATGTGTTGGCATGGTTACCTAGACAGAGTGTATGTATATACACCTGTCATTGTTAGGCCATTTTGATTGACAGGTGGAAATACGTTGTAGCTTGGTCAATGATTCATTATACTGAAAATGATCATATACAAATGTAGGAAATGGGGTGACTTTCATATTTCTAGCTTTCAATGTTCTATGTTTCATACTCTAGCCTGCCCCAGCATGAATATCCTCATTTACATAATAGGGATATATCAATGAAACACTACACTGTAACATATTATGGTCTTTTATTTTATTCCTCTATTCTTTATCAAACCTTGTAGCTATGAACTGCTATAGCTTATGTTAAGTTACGTAGATGTTCCATAAAAGCTTATTGTTCATATTAGGACAAAGTCAAACATAGAAGTATATTAACAAGAAGTATATATCTAATAATACTTCTGCATTATTGAATCTGATCAAAACTTTGATAAACGTTTTATGTAGGCGTGTACAAGTTTCCTGACATCATTACTGCTGAAAGTATAGGATGTCTATGTGTAATAAAATACTGTACACAAACGTTAAAAATACGTTCGTACATGGCGCTCAGAAGTTTCGATAGTATTCTCAAACATGTAAGAGTTATTAAAGGACTATTGGCATTTGTTGAATCTACTGATGGCTGTATGAATTGATCAAAATTAATATGCAAACAAAATATACTATTTTATTTTATTTTCCAGTGGAGTACCTTGAACCTACGGCAAAACGAATACCGGAAATCAAGCCACGTGCTACTCCATGGACAACTGACAAACCGCCACCACTGCCAACCCGGAACCAGGCTCCAAATATTCCAATTAGGCCATCTTCAAGGAGAAGCGATACATTGAATAGCCTTCCCGAAGCACCACCACCACCTACACAAAAAAGGCATCCAATTCTCCCTACGCAACATGAGGAACCTCTGCCGTTGGTTGACGATAAAACCAAGCAGGCCTCGTCACCAACCTTTATAAAGAGCCAGTTTCCAGAGGAAGATATACCGACGAAAACGTTACCACAAGAGCACGAATCCGTTCATTCCTTATCAAACATTTCGTTATCTGATCAGGGCGGTCCTAACTCTACTGACGAACAAAAGATGTCTCCATCATCTGAAGTTTCAACAGCAGACAAGTCGTCTCACAACACAACGTCTGGTGTACCCGATGACCTAGAAATATACACAAAAGATATAAAAGATATGACAATTTCGGAACTTGCCAATTTGTTCCGGAGTAACAGACTCGATCACATGGCCAACGTCTGCGAGGAGGAAGTGATTGACGGTGTTTTACTGTTAATTTTAAATGACCAGGACTTCCAAAAGGAACCATTTAACCTCACGGATTACCACCTGAAAAAGCTTAAAAAGCTCATAGAGGGGCACAGACCGAGATAGTGATACTAGTGTACATGCACAGCAATAAATACATGCAGTATCGTTACCTTATAAAATGTAGCTCTAATTTGATATTTCAGCAGACTTAAGGCATTCCTATGGGAATAAAGTGCGCCATTCTTCCGGCAGACTCTGTCTTATTTTCCCGAGGATGATTTTATTAAAGAGCTTATTAGGACTTGTAAAACAAATCTTGCGAAATGCTTTGATTTTTGCAGTCAGATATATCGGCGATGTCCACACGCTGCACGTACTTTACAGATCACGTAGGTCGTATAATACCCTCATATAGATTATTCTGTTTCAGCCGTTTTCTTCAATCTTTGCTTACATGGCAAACATGGACGGCGTACTACAAAGTTGTTCGATAAGCAGGACGATTTCGATTTTCTTGTAGTGACATTTCCCTTTCTTGACAGCAAACATTTCAGTTTGCTCCAATTATCATGACTTCCAAGACATGTATCGACTTCAGATACACAAACTTACAATGTACAACAAAAGGCTGGTGAAGGCTATAACCACGTTTTATGGCTGTCATCATAATCTCTTCGGCAAACTTAGTATTTCTTTGTGTGCTCTGTTTTTATGCACATTAGCTTCCCTTGTTGTTTCTTCCCTAAAACTCGATATGAGGACTTGGTATTATTTTGAGTTGAAGTACATTACCATGTTTTGCCCTAGTTTTATCGATTTGGTGGTTGCATTACTGAATTCTCTTGTTTTATTGGCGGAGCACTTCCCGTCTTTTCTTTGCATATGCTTGTTCGGAACGTTTTGGCAGACAAACTTAAATCACGCAAAATCATGAAACTGACTTTTAGGAATCATACTTCTACAGCGCACAAATATACTCTCTTATGGTGATTAAATATAAGATGTCTTTTTCATTTTTGAATAAAGTTATTTCAATATTTTTGTGCGTTCTTCACATGTATTTCTTTTAAGAAGTGTGTAAGATCGTGTTTTGTTTCACATCGCATTGTACAGTCAGTGAACGAAGCGATATTCTTATTTGAAGAACTGACAAAAACATATACTTTTCGCAATGATCTTTATTTACTAACCTGCCGCCCAAAACCAAATACATTGATATATAATCTTCTAACCAAGTGAGTCCAAATGAAACATACAAAGCCATGTCAGCCATAGCCATTCCAAATAAGTCATTTAGTCTGCCAAATACGACACAGAGTCTGCCAAATACGACACAGAGTCTGCCTTAGACACAGAGTCTGCCAAGTTAGACACAGAGTCTGCTAAATTAGACATACAGTTATACAGAGTAATTCATACAGCCATACCAAAATCAGTCATACAGCCATATCAAATATATCATACACCCATATCAAATCATTCATACAGTTATACCAAAATCAGTCATATAACCATACCACATCAACACAGTACTAGGCAGAGTAACAGCATTATTTATCCGCATACATTATTATATATATATTATAGTATTATATATTATTTATTCTTGAAATAAATGCATACAGTATTATGAACGACAATCAAATGTAACAATGTAATAAGTAACAAATGTAGGTAAATACATAGAACAAATACACATTGCAATATAGCGTATATTACAACTTTAAGTTCACCAGTAGTCCACCAATATGCTATTTTCAATAGTAATTCACCAAAGTTGTGTCACTCTAGTCAATCAATATCAGGTTGTAAGCGATTTGTTAATGTAAGGTTAAATGTGATTTACTAATGTAAAATAACGTTATACCATTTTAACGTGCAGGGTTATACCCATGTCACGTCAAAATAACGTCACCACATTATACCTATATACAATATGTCACGTCGGAACCTTCTACCAAGATACACTGTAACGTCACAACTTTCTACCGTGGTACAATATTTCAATTCCTACTCAAGTCAGACTCAATGAAACTACCAAATGTAACCTGTTTCATTTGCCGATGAATTTGACCAGTTAGCATTACCTGTGCGTATGATTTTGCGAAGGGAGATCACTATTGACATGTTTAAACAAAGACACCACTTGATGATATTTCACATTTTTATTGAAGCAACACAAAAAATTGTTCAAACAACCAAAAACGATCAATCAGCAAAATATTATCAGCTCATGGTTGCTAACGGTAGTGACAAGTCATGTACTGCCCTAGAAATTCTCCCTCCAGCTACCCATTCTGCCTTGAGTAAGTATCAACCCCGGTACAAATAGAAAACAACGTAGATCCACAGGGGTTCGTTACAAATATCTGAAATACACATGTCATGCTATAACTGAAATGGGTCACAGTACACATAAATATACATATAGAATGTTTATGTGTGATGTGACCCATATCAGTATAGCATATGTGTATAAATCTATGTTTATGTGTGCTGTGACCCATACCAGTATAGTATTCATTTGTATTTCAGACATAACGAACCCCTGTGGTAGATCCCGTCTTATATAATACAGTCGAACAGCCAAATGCCTATCAAATGTTTCGGCCTTTCAATTACTGCAGCTCCGCATTCCAGAAGACTCGCAAGTGAGCTTGTGCGCCGCGTCTGGACATTATTCTTCCGCGATGACGCAAAAATTACATATGACATTTAACATATGGGTTCGTGTTTTGTTTCTACATAATTTGACTTTATTGAACTATCAACGTATACCATCAGGTTGTATGATGGTCCTACAATGACGGACTACATAAATTTTGTTTATATTACGTCAATACGTGGACTTGCACAAGCTCCAGAACTTGGGACAAACGATCAGAATGGACTTAGCAAGTCATAAATATTGAAAAAAAATACGTAGATTGAAATATAAGGATTGAATCTTGCTTTGGTCGATTTCATTGGGTGACGAATTGAGTTGGTCTTGAAACAAATTCAACATGAACTGCATTAAAATTGTTTCAATACCAACTCAATTCAACACTCATGAAATCGACCAAAGCAAGATTCAATCCTGAAATTTAACGTCACAACATTCTACCGAGGTACAATGTAACGTCACAACTATCTACCAATGTACAATGAACTTCACAACTTTCTACCAAGGTACAATGCAACGTCACAACTATCTACCAAGGTGCAATGTAACGTCACAACTATCTACCAAGGTACAATGCAACGTCACAACTATCTACCAAGGTGCAATGTAACGTCACAACTATCTGCCAATGTACAATGTAACGTCACAGTGTTATAACAATATATTTACATTCTGTATGCTTAGACCCATTGACAAAAATTACATTCATAAATGCATAACACAGGTGTTCATAGAATCTCAGCACGTGGGAACTGATAGTAACCTGATCACACTGCGTAGTAATACACTACAAAAACTACTCACTCGGAACGACCGACCTAGATGCTTAATTCTTACATCTTAAAATATTATTGAACTGTGCTTTGTGAAATATCCACGTATTCACGTGTCCTGTGCTACAAATAAACATTGAATATGGAACTACATTTTGTTGTGTTATTGTTGTTGACGGTTGCTAAGATCTCTCACGATAGTGTCACATTTCCCCGCGAAAAAACACTGTTCTCGCCACTGCGTTGCACCCGTGTATAAGCAGGAACAAACCCTGTTTATTTGTTTTATTCGTTGTTATATCGATCCACTGAAAGGATTCGTCAATGTAAATATAAGGAATGATATTTATTTTTTCAACATTTATGAGGTCATAACAACAATGGGTTTTTGGACATATTTTACATGAATCGCTAACGCGATTCATTCAATATGTCCATAAACCCATTGTTGTTATGACCTCATAAATGTTGAAAAAATAAAAATCATTCCTTAA